AGCTGCCACTCACCCACGCAAGCCATGAGGGTCATGTCCAGCTGGAAGCCGTCAAAGCAGTCGCAGGTGTAGCCCTCCTGGACACGCACACAGCGCCCGTTCTCACAGCCGTTGAGGATCCCGCACTCTTCAGCCTGCAGCCCCTCAAAGCCCTCATAGAGGCCTGGAGGGTGGCAAGTCAGTGTCAGAGCAGGGTGACCCTCCACCCAACCGCAAAGGGAACATCGGGCATGCGGCAAGACAGTGCTGGTCGGACCAGCACCGATTCAGAGCAGCCAGGAGCAGAGCTTGCTCCAAGCCTGGAGCATCCTGGCTGGGGCGGGAGCTGCCAGGCAGTCTCCATGGACACAAGCTGGGTGGGAAAGCACCTCTCTGTGTCTCCCAGTACTCACCAGTTTGGCTAAGCAGGAAGCGGGGTGGGTAGGCAGGTAGCGGGGGGGGGACTGCCCTGGGCCATGGTAGAGAGGGCTGCCACGAAACTCACTGTTGGGTTCCCTTCGAGGGAAACCAGCATCGGGGTTTCCATACTCAGACTCTAGGTAGTTGTAGTAGGGGCCCATATCTCGTCTGGGAAGGCCATAGTGGTGGTCTTCCAAGCCTGGTACGTACTCATACCTAGGTCTTTCTCGGAGCTCAGCCCCTCTCTCACTGTCTTCACTCGCCCCATTACACAGGAAAGCAAAATCAGCTGGAAGTGGTGAGAGAAAAAGAAGGGTCAGTGCAGCCTGGCTCAAGACAGGTAGGTCGATATGGCCGGAGAGGGAACTTCCACATGGGGCCAGCAGAGCCAGGCCTGCGTTCAATGTCAGCCAAAACTGCAGCTCTGCAGTTTGCTGACAGGACCCCGCCTTCAAGAGACCGGCTCCTGTCTGGGCCAGCAAGTCCTTGAGCAGCAAGAACCCCAGTTCCCAGTGTGCTCCCATCCCAGGCTGCCATCGCCTCACCTCTCCTAAGCTAAGCAAGAGTAGCAGGATGCACAGAGCAACTCTCTCCTCAAACACCTTGGACTCATTGCAAACCAGTTTCAGGTACATCCTACCCAATCGTGCAGCTCAGCCCTGGAGAAGTGGGGGGTTCACCCACTCCTTGGGCTGGCTTCAGCAATACAGACAAGAGGAGCCCTTGCTGCAGCCGTACATGGCTGACCCTGCATGACATGACTTGCAGCAGCCCAGCCCGTCCCCACCTCTGCCAGGAGACACTTGCCCATGCCACCCCGCTCACCAGAGGACCTGTGTGGGCAGAGCGCGCAGTTCTGGCCCCAGGCTTCACCAAGCCGGCAGCAGCACTCAGTGTACGTGGTCTGCTCTCCATGCAGCAGGTCTTGGCAAATGTAGTCGGCAACGTTCTGCCAGCAGACGTCCAGGTGGATTTCATACTCCTCCAGGGCATCTGTGATTGACACAAGCAAAGGATACCACAAAAATAATCCAGAAGAGTGCCACCCTGCCTTGCCCTGACAGGGATGACTGTGCATCCCAGCTCCTGCTCCCCTGCCCTGGCTGCACACTGTGCTGGCATTGGCACCCCTCAGCCCAGCACTGAGCTCCCACCCGCTCCTCCCTGCCGGGGGGCCCAGCCACGGGGTGGGATGTGCAGGGTGAAGGTGTGCTGTGGCGGGACCTCAGGCTCACCTGCCCTGCTGGAGAGGTTCACACACCGGTTGCCGGGGGCCTCCAGCACAAGAGGAAGGCTGCAGAAGCAGTGGTAGGAGCCGTCTGTGTTCAGACACTCGCCGTTGATGCAGTACACTTCATTCTGACACTCGTCCTGGTCTGCCCACACACAAGGACAGAGAAACATTCCAGGCTGGCAGACATGGTCAATGCAGCCCTTTCCCTGCCCATATGGGGACCCTGGAGGCTTCTGCCACCTCCTCTCTCATTCCCCAGGATGGTCCCAGGAATCCTGTCACCCAGACCCGGCCCCGTAGCGTGGGCAGCAGGGACAACTCTGGGTGCAGCAGCATGGCTGTCCCTCCGTGCACACTGGAGTCCCCACTGCTCTGTGAGGCCATCTTACCAACACACTCAAGCCTGCTGGAGTCATAGAAGTAGCCTGTACGGCAGAAGCACTTGTAGCCCGGCACTGTGTTCAAACACTGTCCGTTGCGACAGAACTCAGAGCCAAATATCTCACACTCGTCCATATCTGAGAGAGGAATAGAGGGAGAGAATGTCTCAGGGAGCAGAGCTGTGGAAGCAGGGCGGGCTGGGTGCTGTGCCTGCAGAAAGCCAGCATGGCACCTTGGCCTGGATCACTGGCAGATCCTCGAGTGAGCCCCCTGCCTCTCCCACCACCCCATGCTTGGGAGCAGGGGGAAGGAGGGATGACAGGGAACAGGATTCTTTTACAAATAGGAAATTAATGTGTGTTTCTGGAAGGTCGAGAACACAACCCCCTGGAGGAAGTGAAGTGCCAAAGACTAAGCCAACTGGCTACTGTGAGATCTATCAGTAAGTGGAAGGGCTGTGTCTTACTGGACCCCATCCTCCCTGGTTTGAAATAGGCATGGGAGGTTTGCACCAAGAAAAGAGTCACAGCCAGCAGTGAGGCACGACTGGAGGAAGGGGCACTACCAGCTCGGTGATACTGGCAATCTGGGATTTCTCTGGATGGAGGAAAACAGCAGCAGGATGTTAGCATCCCCCACCACAGCCCCAGGGAGATAGTTCTGTGGATGCATCTCCATGCAGGGCTTTGTACAACACCCTCCCTCTTCTCCCTGGAAGAAATAAGAGAAAATGGTGGTAGTACCTGTGAAAGAGACTCTTCCTGAGAGCAGATCTTCCTGGGGAACATAGCCCTTCCCAAGAGGGCAGATCTCTTGGTACTCCACTGGCCAGGTGGCAGATGCCAAAGGGAGACGGGAAGAAAAGAAACAGCTCATTAATGCAACCAAGGTGGAGCTGGTGGGCAGAGCACCACTCTTGCCTGGTGTGGTAGGGCCATAGTCCTACCTGTGCCCGGGATGGGGCAGGGGTAAGTCTCACAGTTGTCACCCCAGGCTGCCCCCACAGTACAGCAGCACTCCTCCTTGGTGATGTTCTTGGCCAGGACACTGTCACACAAGCGAACGTCGCTGATGTGGTAGTAGCACTGCTTGCGCTCTGCGCTGCCAAAAAGGTGGGCTGCCTGTGTCTCAATGCTCTCTAGAAGACAGCAGAGCAGGGATGGGATGGGGTTCTTGGCACCCCAACACAGCATCCTGCACCTAGGAGGTCCCAGAGCACACGCATCATCAGCAGCGTGGCCTTCCCAGGTCCCCACTTTCAGGCTCTTCAGCTCTCTCCAGACAAAAGCTTGCCCATGCTCATGTGGGCTTATACAGCCCTGGCTGCCCCTCAGCTTTATCCCACCCCAGCCAGGGCTATGACACTCCTGCTCTAGCTGCCACCCATGCTTCTGTAGTAGCTGTCTACTCACCCATAGGTGCTCGGGGCTTGCACTGCCCTGCCTCTGTGTCATACTCCTCATGGTCGCTGGGGCAGAGGCACAGGAAGGATCCCTCCACGTTCTCGCAAAGCGCAGTCCCGCACACAGCGACCATCAGCTCACACTCATTCACATCTGCAACGCAAGGGCCAGCAGTGGGAGCCCTGCCTCTGCACGGGCAGCCTCTGAAGGGTCACCCTTCAGCAGGGAGATGGAAACTGCTAGGGATGAACTGAAAGCTCTGTTCACACTGTGGCTTGACACAAATCTGGGAAGAGTTTCCTGCCCTGCTCTCAGTGGATTCAGGGAGCCTGAACTCCAGACTGCAGTGAGTCACTGGATCACAGGATCATCCAGGTTTGAAGGGACTGCTGAAGGTCTCTAGTCCAACCCCCTGCTCAAAGCAGGGTCAGTTATGGGGTCCCACCAACCTGTTCAGGGTTTTGTCTAGTTGGGTCTTGAACACCTCCAGGGATGGTGACTACACAGCCACCCTGGACATCTGTTCCACTGCCTGCCTGTCCTCGTTATGAAAATATTTTTCCTTACATCACACCCTGCCTACTCTCTCTAGACACCCATTAAAGTACCTCTCTAGCTCCTTCAGCATCTCCAGCCCCTGAGCACCTCCTTTCCACCTGCACAGAAAAAGGGCTTCATGTTCACTGAGAGCCGCTTGCTTTTCAGAAAACCATGTTCCTTTGCAGTCCCAAGGATCTACTGTGCTAAGGAGAGGGTTTTGCCTCCATGAGCTGCCCTGTCCATGTCTGGGATTCTCCATGTGCAGATGCAATCCCTGTCCATGCTCTGGGAGCTGTCACACCATGGGGACACCAGCCTGGCATCTCCTGATGGCTCTCCCTCACTGACTGGCAGAGCAACCACGGGAAACTCACCAATGCAGTAGTGCCCAGAGGGTGACCTCTCGTAGCCACGGTCGCAGAGGCAGCGGAAGGAGCCGTCTGAGTTCTCGCAGAAGCCGTGGCTCCCACACAGCGTCTCGTTGGCACACTCATCTATGTCTGCAGCATAGCAGAGAGCAAGAATTGCCCCAGACTCCGCCTCTCCCAATGGACCCCCCTGTGAGGCCCTTCTATTCTGACCCCAAGACCTGGGCATCAGGGCAGGTATTCCCTTGATGTGAGGGACTGGGTCTGGCTGCCCCATTCATTCCCCTGCTATGAGTGCGTGTGTTAAGAGAAGCTTCCTGCAACATCCAGAGCTGCACAGAGGCCTCACAGATAGAGTGTCAGGAGCTCACATCAGCAGGAGATACAAGGGTGCAACTGAAGTGTGTGGGGCAAGTGCACACACATGATACTCTCCGGACCCATTCTAGACCTGGTCCTTCTCCAACTGCTACAGTGCCAGGGTGTAATCTGCCTTGCCCCAGCCTGGTAGGGTTGGACAGTCACAACTGGGTCCTCTGCCTATGGAGGGCAGGTTTACAGCCCTGCTGGCTGTATTCTGCTCCCCTCCTACCACTGCACAGGATAGATTTCCCTGGAGCAGTCAGAGCAGCCGCATGCCCACAGCTTGCTCCTCCCAAGGCCAGGAGCAGCTCCACTTGTTGCTGAGTCCTGGCGCAGCCCAGAGCCCAGCAGCTGGCAGCAGCTCCTCCTTGCTGCAGCCTTTCCTGAGCCGGGGGGAGCCTCAGAAACTGTAAAAACCCCTCCACTCTTTGCTCTTTGATGAAACCTGAATTCCAACCAAGACTTCCCAGCCTAGCACACAGTGGTACCAGCAGCCCTTCAGCTCCTCCTGCCCTCTTGGGCAGGTGACTGGCACAGGCAGCAGCCCCAGCAAGCACAGCTTACTGGGAGCTGCAGTCCAGTCCCAACCCTAGAATGGCTGTAACCTGCCCAGGACTCTCCCCAAGCGGAAAGCAGCACAATGCGGCATCTGTTCCAGATGCCAGGAAGAGAGAAGTCTAGACACAAGCAGGCAGCTCAGCCAAGAAAACAAACTCTCGGCATTATCTGCCTCTCCACCAGCCACACACTTCCTCCTCCTCCTCCTTCACTCACACACCCCTGTCAGAGATGTCCCACAGTCACCGGGACACCCACAGGACACCCGGGGCTGTACTCACCAATGCAGTCACCCAAGGGGGTCCAGTGGAAGCCAGGCTGGCAGCCCATGATACAACGGTAGGAGCCCAGGCTGTTCTGGCACCGCCACGTGCCGCAGATGGCATCCCCGTACTCTTTACACTCATCCACGTCTGCAGGGAGGAGGGCAAGAAGACAGGGACAGTCAGATGGGGACCCTGCTTGCTCACTGCAGTGCCTGGATCAGGTTCAGTTGGCCAGAGGCTCTGAGCCATTGCTAGTCTTTCTTACAAGCCACCAGCAACTTTGGGTGCTGAGAGCAGAACTGCCCTCCCCTGCACTGGCTGCATCCATCCCCCCAAATCCCAGGGGGCTGATCTCCCCAATGATGAGCTCTCACCCACGCAGTCATCAGTCTCCTGGGAGTGTTTGAACCCGTTTTCACACAGACACCTGTAGGAGCCTTCTGTGTTCAGACACTGGCCTTGTGAGCACCGGGACTTGTCTGCGCATTCATCGACATCTACAAAATCGGGCCAAAATTGTGAACCTGGATGCCACAGCACAGGAGGGAGCAGAGGGCAGGACCTGAGGTATGTCCCTGCCATCTTCCAGCTCACCTTGGCAGCTGACTCCCCCAGCCACATTCGAGAAGCCAGGAGCACAAACGCAGAAGTAGGATCCGTGACTGTTGAGACACTCGCCATTGGGCCTGCAGATCTCGCTGTTCAGGCACTCATTCACATCTGCAGAGGGAGCAGAGTCAGGGCCTTACACCCAGTGCTGGGGGACATCCTTCATCTAAGCCGCATGGATCCCCTCTCCCCAGTCTCTCACAGGCAGCCCTTGCAGGGCTCCTGTTCCCTGGCTTTCTTGTCATGGAGAGAGACCTTCACTGTACAGGGTGATCCTGCATTCAGCTACAACCTTATGCATGTGCCATGCATGGTGGCATCACCTGCTTTGACACTGGCATCCTCCCTGCCAAGAAGGGAGATCTACAGGGAGGTTGCTTGTCCTGGACTGCAGGGCTGCAGGGATGGAATTCATACCTTCACACATGGTGCCGTTGACGAGCCTGAAGCCAGCCTGGCATTGGCACTCGTAGGAGCCTGGGGTGTTCCTGCACTCTCCCCCCAGGCACTGAACAGCAGGGTCCTCACACTCGTCCAGATCTGCCAAGCAGAAGGGCACAGCACAGAGTGAGGCCCCAGCTCTTGCTGCCACTGGAGAAAATCGCCACCCAGGGCAGCCATCACCCAGCTGTTGGCCTACAAGGTGGGCTTGTGCTGCCCTCCCAGAGCATCCCATCACAGTGAGATGAGGGGAGAGACTCCCTGTTACTGGGGTGTGAGGAGTCAGCCCAGACCCTTCACCCAGCTCCTTCACAGAGACCAGGATAAACTGGATCCCAGTCCTGAGCAGAGCACGCACAGATCAACACTAATCCTAGCAACAAGTAAGGACAAGAAGGTGATTAGGAGCAGTCAGCATGGATTCACAAAGTTGGCTTGACCAACCTGGTAACCTTCTATGATTGGCCTGGTAGACAGCAGGAGAGCAGTGGAAGTTGTCTACCTAGGCTCCAGCAAGGCTTTCGATAATGTCTCCCATAAGATTCTCATAGAGAAGCTGATGAAGTCCAGGCTGTAGCAGGAGACAATGAAGTAGACTGAAAATGGGCTGAACGGCCAGACCCAGAGGGTGGTGATTAGTGGTGTGAAGTCTATTGGGAGGCCAGTAACTAGCAGTGTACCCCAGGGGTCAGTACTGGGTCCAATCCTCTTTAATATCTTCATTAATGATTGAGATGATGGGGCAAAGCATACCCTCCACAAGTTTTCTGACAATACAAAACTGAGAGGAGTGGCTAATATGCCAGAAGGTCGTGCTGCCATGCAGAAGAACCTCAGGCTGAAGAAATGGGCCAACAGGAACCTCGGGACGTTCAACAAGGGAAAGTGCCAAGTCCTGCACCCTCCTGAAGGCAGGGTGCAAATAAGACTAAGACAGGCTTTTTTCAGTGGTGTCCAGTGACAGAAGAAGAGGCAATGGGCACAAACTGAAACAGAGTTTCCCTCTGAACACCAGGAAACACCTTTTTACCATGAAGGTGACTGAGATCCCTCTCCCCCCACCTCCTCCAGGCCTTGGCCAGAGCCTGCTGGCACTCTGAGGGTTTTGCTCACAGCAGAGGAGAAAGGGCTACCTTCCCTCTAACAGAAGGCTACCAGATGTCAGCAGACTGCACTTGCCGGTAGGCCCATGAGGTGGGGGGAAGCACTGGAGGATGCTGCTAATCAGAATGGGCTGGTGTGCAGGCAGCAGAAGACATGCTAGTGTGGAGAAGGTCCTGCTCCTCTCCTCCACCGGGAGATAAAGCCTTGAGACTGGCAGCTCCTGGGGGCAGGGACCTTCTCTTCCTTTCTGCAGAGCACTGAGCATGCAATAGGCATAAGTGAGCATCACTCCCTACTGCCTTGGGGCAGGACTCCCGGATGTTCAGTCTCAAAAAGGGTTGCAAGGAGCAATTTTCTTGAATCCTTCTGGATGTGAACCATAACCTAGTTTATTTATCACAAAACTATAATGAAACTCTTATCATTTTTCAAATATGAAATCCAGATCCACAGACAAGGCCACCAGACAAGGCAGGGAAGAACGTGCCATCCTGCCATCGGGTCAGTGTGACCCAAACAGTATCGAACCCTGATAAGGTGCCCTTGTGAAATGGCGGGGGCAAGGTGGCTGAGACGGGGCTCACGTGTAGAAAAGGGGGAGAGCAGATAGAAGGGATCAAACCATGGTTCTTCCATTGCACCCAAAAATCAGATGGAAAATAAGCTAATTTAATACTGGCTTTGTCAGACACCAAAACAGAGTAGAACAGAGGGAGGAAAGGCTCCCTCTCCTCCCCCATTGGAGGCCCCCATGCAGGGGGATCTTCTGAGAGTCACATCAAAGGCAAGATCTTCTGTTTGCCAGCTATGTGCAGGCTGCAGAGCTCTGAACAAATACCTTTGCCAGCTCTGCCCTCTCCCTTCCCTTGCCCCAAACTGGGAATTTCCATCAAGCCATCTCAAGCCCAGGATGTCCCCTGGAGGCAGCCACTGGGGAGGGAGGTTCCCTGCCTGCGCTGGGGCAGTGGGCTGTCAGGCTGGGACTGAGAGCTCTCATGTCTGTCTCAGCAACACGACCAACACAGATCGATGCTGGTGTTAACACTCTGCCACGCATACCTGGCACAGCAGAGCCCTTGGACAAAGCTGTCCTTTTTAAACATGTCCAAGTTACTTAGGGGCTGAGGAAAAATGATGTACCCTGGGTGCCCCCAGTCTCTCCACTGGCTGTGGACTCAAGGTTTCTCCCTCTGCTGAGGACCTACATTTGGGGTCCATGCTACCAGGCACACAGTTCTGAACTGAACTAGGCACAACTCCTCCCTGCCCACATTTCCAGGCCTCCTGTACTCCTCTGGGCTTTCTCAGCATCCACCAGATCATCATTAGTCCAGCAGTCTCATCAATTATTCCCCAACCCGCAACCCTTTCCTGCTTGAGGAAGATCACCTTCCTGCTGCTCTAGGTGACATCTGCTTGCAAGACCCCCCACTCTCTGCTAATCAGAGAGCTAGAGAGCTAGAGAAGGAACCTGAGGCTAAAGAAGCCCCCAGGCCCCACCAATAACTCAGCTATGGAAATGTCTCTTCCCTCATTGCCTCCAGCACCTGCTCCTCTGTCCCTGGGAAAGGATACCTTCGCACGTGCTGCCATCTCTGGAGACGGTGTAGCCGGTGTCACAAGCCATGCAGGAGTAGGAGCCCTCGGTGTTGAGGCAGAGTCCAGAGGGACAGGCAGCCTGGGCCATGCACTCATCGATGTCTGTATAAACACACGAGGGAGAGAAGGATGAGTGGGAAAGATGTGGAGTAACCAAATCCAGGGGCAGATGTGCTGAGAGAACCAGCCAACATGGTGGCCAGGACTCAGACAGAGCCAAGTGCTCAGGAAGAGCCTCATGAAACCTCTGGACTGAGTGCCTGGCACTTCAGAGGGTCTGGACCCACAGCTCCCCAGTACCTTGGCAGCTCTTCCCATCAGGTGCCACCTCATAGCCCCAGTAGCAGGAACAGCGGAAGGAGCCGGCCAGGTTGACACACCGTCCGTGAGCACAGGTCCCCTCTGCAAGGCACTCGTCCACATCTGCGTGACACAGCAGAGGGCAACACGGCATGGGAGGGTGCTCAGGGCTGTCCCTGCCACCCAAACCACGAGGGCGCTTTGCCCTGGCCACGCAAGCTGGCTACCCCCCTGCTCCTTTTGAGGCTTGCAAGGAGTACTGCCGTGGGGGGTGAGGGTGCTGCCCAGAGACAGCCCGAGCTCCTCACCAATACATCTCCCATTCCTGGGCCGGTAGCCATCCCCACAGCTGACACATTTATAGGATCCCAGTGTATTGACACACTTCCCGCTGTGGCAAGGGCTGGGATCCACGCACTCGTTGACATCTGCCAAGAAACACACTCCTTCAGGCTCCCGAAGGTGCAGCCTCTTCCAGGATGTCCCCTCCAGCTGGATCCTCAGAGTCACCGGCCAGAGGACAGCAACGCCCAAGAGGAGACGAGATGAGTTTGCCAGGCCTTTGCAACACTTCCCACAGTCCCACAGATCACTCAGGATCCTACAGCCACACCTGAGGGCTGACATAATCCAGCAGCAAAACCCAGGGCCGCAGGATGTTGCCAAGGCCAGGAATGTGCACAGGCAGAGAAAGGGATCAGAGAACATCTGTGCAGGGCTGTTTCATCACGGACTTTTATAACTATGATTAGGATGCAGCCTCCAGCTGAGGAAGTCCTTCAGGCAAGTGTTTTCTGGGGGATGTATGGGTGGAGCAGCATTCTGTGCATGCCCTGTTTCCCGTACTGCCTCCTAAAATAGTCTCCCACTCTCTGTTGGAGATGAGCTACTGAGAAACGGGGATCTTGATCAGGCACATCGTATGTTCACAAGGTCGAATGCTCTGAAGGGCCCAGGTCATGCCATGTGAGTGGGATGCTGTGGGGACAGGTGGCCTGAGCCTCTGCAGCCTGCTCTCCCAGCAGTCCACTTGCTAGCACGAGAGTCTGGTGACAGAGTCAAGCTGGCACGAAAACGCATGGGCACCTCCTCCCAGAAGAGGACACCAGCATGGTCTTGTTGTGGGGGGGATCTCCCTGAGGAGGTGGGAAAGGATTTCAGGAGAAACTCCCCTCTCTGAGCCCAGGAAAGCCTGTCCCTCCTGCAGGCAGAGGAGAGGACAGCCAGCCCTCAGGGAGGGCACAGGGCAGAAAACATGGAGGGTGGGGGTCTTCCTCCCTTCCAGGAGGAGACACAGAGCAGTGAGGAAAGGAGGTGTTCAGCCCTGCACAGAGGGAGTTAGAGGAGTAAGGGCGCAGGCAGCAGCAAGCTTCACCTTCACACTGTCCTCTGGGGCCCATGGCAAAGCCCTCCTTGCACTCGCAGCGGTAGGAGCCGGGGGTGTTGATGCATTGCTGTCCCCTGCAGGTAGAGGGCTGCTCACATTCATCTCGATCTGCCAACACACAGGAAACCAGCCCTGAAGTCTTCCCGCTCCAGTGTACGGAAGGCTGAGTGCGGGAGAGGAGCTGCTCCACCTGCAGCAGGCTCTGCCCAGGGGACCCACGCTGAGGCTCTGCTCTGATCCTGGTCTATCCCTGCATCCCCCTCTCTGTGCTGAAGCAGTGATCACAGCTGGCATCACAGGCTCCTGCCCCTGATCTCCGCGGGCAAGGTCCTGTCCCTGAGCGCGCACGAGAGGGTGATCTCCATGGATCAGTCTGTCTGTGGGCAGGCCTGTGTGCAGGCAGGCAGGTGTGTGTGCATTCTGTGTACGAGTGCATGTGTGTGTGCACATGCATGAGAGCACATGAGGGCAGGACACTGAGGAAGACCCTGGAGAGGTGGCAGCCCTGTGCCAGGCGGACACCACTTACCCTCACAGCTCTGCTTGCCCTCCAAGACAACCAGCGTGTACCCAGAGTAGCAGACGCACAAATAGGAGCCCATGCTGTTGATGCAGCGACCTTTTCCAGCACAAGGATCCTTCAGGCACTCATCTTCATCTGTGCCCCGGCAAGGAAGGAAGACAGGCAGTGACCACAGCCGCTGCCTG